AGACCCTCAGTACAGGGCTGGTGAGTGAGCCCTGGACACCCCCAGGCTTTCTGAAGGAGGCTAGCCTACTGAGAACAAAAACTATTCTCACCATGCCAACACTGGAAAAATTAAGGGCTCTGCTTTCTTTCTTTCTTTCTTTCTTTCTTTCTTTCTTTCTTTCTTTCTTTCTTTCTTTCTTTCTTTCTTTCTTTCTTTCTTTCTATTTATTTATTTATTTATTTATTTATTTATTTTTAGGCAGGGTCTCCTTATGGCCCAAGCTGTCCAGACTCAGAATCCTCCCACCTGGGTACTGGGATTCCAGGTTTGCCTGCCAAACTGAGCTAACACCTCTTGAGATTTGTCAGCATCAGAAGAAAGACATACCTTCTTGAGCTCAGTGAATAGCCTGACACAGTAAACAACCAAACACATAATAAAAAGCAGCTGCTTAGCCAGGCTGGGTGGTACCCATCTGTAATCCCTGCTACCTGGGATGCTGAGGCAGGAGGATGGAGAGTTTGAAGCCAGTCTACCTAGTGAAGTCCTGTCTCAATAAAGCAGTGGGGGCGCAGGGACGATGGTGCAGATGGTAAATTAAAGGTGCTTGCCACCAGTCCTGATGACCAGAGTTTGACCCCAGGACCCAAATAGTGGAACCTAAATGGAGAGAAGTCTCCAGGCTGTCCTGTCTGTCCCCCACCCACACAGACAAATGCAGTAATAAAGAAGTCGCTCTGATAAGCAGTTCCACTGCTTTTCTGATCCTGAAAGCCCCCCCCCCTTCAATGTGGAAGAAAGAGATCAGGACCCCAAAATTGTAGCACATCTGTCACACTGAGCTCCTGTGCCTTCACCTCAAGTGGAGAGAATGGCCCCAGCTGGGGTGTGACGGGGAGGGGGTCACGGAAGAAGAGAGCACCTGGGGAGAAGACAGGCACCACCACCTCTGCTGTTCCTCAGGCCCTGAATCCTGCTCTACTGTCACAGCCTCTTGGCTTAACTCCATGTCACACCCCCGCCCCACACACCCCCTGCCAAAGACTGCCACCTCACATAAGCTGCCCTTTGGACAGCCCGCAGCAGAGCACTGGCCTGAGGCAGTGTGACAGGCTGGGGCTAAGGTTCTTGGGTCTGGACGCTTGAACCCTTAATTCCCCTTTACTTCCCAGATAATCTGCCTGGTACTCCACCCAGTACAACTCCACGGTCTTCAAGTATATACTCTAGGGAGACACCCGCTGGCCTCTGCAGGAAGGGAGGAGCTGAGTATGTAAACTGTCCCTATGAAGGAATTCACACAGCTGACAATAGTGGAGTATACCTGTAACCCTAGTACTACCGGGCTGAGGCAGGAGGAAGGCCATGTTTGTGGCCAACCTACTAGGTTATGTAGCAGGCTCCAGCCTGCACTTCACTGACCCTGTTTCAAACAGAAAAAGTAAAAATGAAAGGTGACTTGTGTTCATCTGCACTGTGAGGTCATTCCGTAGGCTGGCTGCAAGAGCAGTGTTGAAGTGGGAAGCCACACTAGACTGCTGTTTCTGAGTCGTACCTTTGCCATGAGCCTGAGGCTACACTCAGACTCTCATTCCCCTGTCTGCAAGCAGGAGAACAGACCGGTGTGGTTGAAATGGCTCCCGCAGGTCAGACAACTGAGAAGTGGTGGGGCCAGAACTGCAACTGAGTCGTGACAACCTCAGAGACCTGGTCCTTCCAGGACCCAGAAGGTTCTGGGTGGTCAGTGGGCTGCTTCTCAGCAGTGCTACCAGTTTCTGACCATTCCCAACCCCTCTGTTCTGGCTCTGTCCTACGTGGCACCATCATACCATGTTTGGGAAAGTCCCTGTGGCCCTTTGGTTGCTGTGGGAAGGGTGCACTGGGGCAGGACCAGTTCTCCACCCTGGAGTCTGTACTCTGTCCCACAGAGGAAAGCCATACCTTGGTCTGCTTCTTCTCGGTGGCATACACGATGGAGGTGCAGCACACCTCTGCCAGCTTACGACCCTGGCCATAGAAAGACCAGCAGCAGATTTCATCACCAATGACGTCCTTGATGAAGAGCACGCGGCCATTGAAGCGCAAGGACAGCTTGTCAAACAGTTCAATGTTTTTCAGCAGGTGATCGTCAGAGTTGCTGAAAAACCACAAGGGCCAGCAGGCCCGGGATGAGGTTCCAGCACAATGGAGGGCTGGTGGGACATTCTGGGTTCGCCACCCCCCTGCCCACCATGCTAAAATGAAGACAAGACGGAGGCAGAAAGGAACTTGTAGGACTGAGGCCTGTGAGAGACAAGGGTGGAACTGGCTCTCATTTACAGCAAGAGCACTGAGGGAAGAATGACCTCTCCCCAAGCCTGGAAGAAGGGGCCCCTCACTGCTCCACAGGAGACAGCGTTCTTCTGCTGTGGGGTGGGTGATGCAGTGTCACAGGGGACCACGAGAGCCTAGAGCCAAGCCTGGGCCTATCTAACCCAGCCCTGGCCTGTCAGGAGGACACAGTGCGGAGCACAGGCGTCAGGAGGACTTGGTTTACGACTTCCTAGCACCCCTCTCCACCACCAAGACAAAGGGGATGGAAATCCCTGGCGTGCTCCCGATATGACACATTACAGGCATGCTTCCATGTTTTATCATCTACAGCCCAACCAGGCTGTGTAACAAATCCCCAGGACCTTGTTCTGTCCTGAGTTCCCTTCTATTTCTGTTCATTGCCCTCAGCAAAGGTGGTTTCAACACCCAGCTCCGTGTTAGGTATGTCGGGAATCTGAATTCCCTTGGCCTCCTGCCCAGAACCGGCTGGCTGCTCAGCCCTTAGGCTGCTTCTGCCACCCTCCCGGGCCCTCGAGGAGACAGATGCCCGCCGTACCTGGTATATGAGTACTTGTTATTGCTCCTGTTGTACAGCAGCTTCACCACAGGCTGTGAGGGAAGAAAGAGTAAGGGCTCGGCCAGGAGCCTGGCGTCCCCAGGCCGAGGCCCTCAGAGTGCCCAGTACCTTTGTGGAAGATTCGATGAGCCTGTCCTCCTCTCTCAGGGATGTGATGATGGGGATGTTGCACACAGGCTGGTAGGAGTCTTTCTTGTCCTGGGTGACACAGAGCAGAAAGCTGCCTTTAGGATCTAATGCTGGCCAGGTCCCTCCCCCGGCCTTCGGCCACAGTCACCCCCTGCCTGGTAAGGAGGTCGACAGATCATGACATTCTTGGTAACAGATACTGCCAGCCAGTAAGCAGAGAATCTGGAGCTCCGCCATCTAAGCGAATGGACTAGAGGCCCAGCCTGTTGTGCTGTCGTGCGGGGATACTTAGCAGCAGTCTGCGGGGCCTGGGCAGCACCTCACTGTTCTAGCTGGATCTGGACTCATCAACCTCATTTCCAACACAGCTTTACAGGAGCCAAACCTAATGTCCCCAGAGGGACAAGTCCCAGCCTCATTACGCCACCAGCTCTTCCTGTACCTGCAGTGCAGTCTGGCACATGTTCACCAGCCCTTGAATGAGGTAATATTTTGCCTCAGCCATCAATTCCTGGATCTCTTGCCGGTTTTGAGGGAGGGTGATGGTGTCATCTCGGAGATAATTCAAGATGGTGCCAAAGTGCTTTCCACATCTGTCTATGAGGATCCAGCCTAGAGATTTAGAGGGATCCCACAGGATTACTGTTAGCCTCCAGCTGTGTCTGATGCAGGCAGAAGCCACCTGAGAGGCAGGCAGGAAGCAGCATGCAAGGAAAGGTACTACATGAGAGTGCAGAGCCCAGGCCAGGGATGCAGAGACCAAGGCCTCAGGTCTGTGCTGCTCTTCCTATCCGGAGTCCAGGAACTCCTGTGTCCCTGAGAAGATACAGGTCTTCAGGGCGCTGTGGAGGACTGGATGTCTAAGCTTGGGGGTACTCAGGTCACCCAGGTAATACAGAAATCACCAGTCTGCTTACCTTTTGCCCACTGCCCAGGCTGTACTGTGTTTATGACAATCTTACTTATTTGGATATATATGTCAGCTTTTTTTTTGTGTGTGTGTGTGTAGCCTTAGCTGTCTTGGAACTCACTTTGTAGACCAGGCTGGCCTCATTCCCGATTCTCCTGTCCCCACCTCTAAGTACTAGTGTTACAGACGTGTGCCACCACACCCAGCCTGGATATTTTTTAAGTATGAACTTTTTCCTCTAGATGATACATAAACATACAGCATTCTGTGGACAATTTCAAGGAATTCTGAAGCTCTGGTAAGACTTGTAAGAAATGAAGAGGAAAAGCTACAGATTCTGGATCTATTGAGCTTAAGCCCTGCCCTGAAGTCACCTCAGGCTGCCCCTCCTCCCCTCCCTTGCCCAGCATGCCCCGATACAGTGGCTCACCTTCTTTGTCGGTCAGCACCTCCATGCGCCCACTGAACATGGCCTTGAGCATGGTGTCATGCCGAGTGAGGGCCCGCACCGTAGTGTAGTACAGGGAGCCGCCCACATTGAGCTGCACGTACTTGTTGCCCAGCCCGCCTCCCTTGAAGCCACTTATCTTGGGCTTGGCCCCTGAGGCTGGGCACAGACAGGTGTCCCCTGACATCTCCCGCTGCAGGTAGATCACCACACGGCAGGAGGTAGGCTTGGAAGGCTCTGCCGTGGTGGAAGCAGTCACGAAGGAGTGGCCCACAGAGGCCAGGGCCTCATACTCTCAGTGCTGGAAGCAAGAGGTAGAGAGAACACGGAAGTCAGCAGAGTAGAGGTCACAAGGGAGGAGGGGACAGCAGTAGGAACTCTGACACAGTTTACTTCCTAGATAAGCCCATGCACTCCCAAGCAGAGGCTGAGTTCCTGGCTGTGCTGGTCAGTTTTCTGTCAACTTGACACAAGCTAAAATCGTCTGGGAAGAAAACCTTAACTGAGAAAAATGCCTCTATCATATTGGCCTGGAGGCAAGTCTGCGGGGGCATTTTCTTGATTAATGATGGGGAGTGGGCAGTGCCATCCATCCCTGGGCAGGTGATCCTGGATGGTGTAAGAAAGCAGGCTGGGCCGGGGGGTGGAGGGGTGGTGGCGCACGCCTTTAATCTCAGCACTCAGGAGGCAGAGCCAGGCGGATCTCTAAGAGTTTGAGGCCAGCCTGGTCTACAAAGTGAGTTCCAGGACAGGTTCCAAAGCTTTACCAAGAAACCCTGTCTCAGGGGTGGGGGGCATAGGGGGCGGGTAGCAAGCGAGCAAGCAGGCTGGGCAAGCCAGTAAGTAGCATTCCTCTATGGGCTCTGCTTCAGTTCCTATCCTCAGGTTCCTGTCACCAGTTCCTTCCCCAACTTCTCTCAATGAAGAACTGGGACCTGGGACGTGTGAGCCAAATAAACTTTCCTCCCTGATCTGCTTTTGGTCACATGTTTTATCGCAGCAATAGAAAGCAAATCAGGATACTGGGTGACAGCAAGAATGACCCCTACGCTGTTCTCACGGTACCAGGAGCCAGGTCTGGGAGCATAAACTCCCTCCAGGCTCAGCTCTGCTTTGAGTTGCAAGGAAAACCCTTAGAACTAAGAGCCAGATAAATAGATCACCCTGGGATCTACCATACAGACTTCAGAAAATGTTTTCCCAAGACTCCCAGAACTCCAGACTTCTTGACTAACCAACTGGGGATCTAGCCAGCCTAGGAGTTTCCCAGGAGCCAGAAGGACAGGATACATTTCCTGTCTCAGGAGTAGCCCGCTCCAAGACTCAGGTTAGCACCAGCCAAAGAAAGCCTGGGTCTAGGAAGAACACGAGTATGGTTCTAGGAGAGGCTGGAGAGGGCCAGCTTTGGAGGCAGCCAGCCCGGGAGCTTGGCAGGGGTTACCTGGGCTCCCACGGGGTTTCCTGACCTTCCCCTTTCTTGGCATCAGCTTTGCCCCAAGTTCCTGTAATTGTCACCATTTTGTCAAGGCAGAACACAGGAAGGCTTTTTTGCTGCTTTTTCCTGAAAGTCCTATCTCTCTTCTTTTCCTTCCCACCAAGAATGGGGAGAAAAGACATGATGATAATACTAAAAATGATTAAGGAGTGTAGAAAGTAAAACTAACAGTTCAGAAACCAAAGAAACGATTAAAGGAAAAGTTGGTTTGTGCTCTTGGCTTGCATTCTGGTTTTGTTGTTGTTATTTATATTCTAAATTCTTTTTTTTTTTTTTTTAAATGTGAGTGATGTATCTGCATGTACAACTTTATGCCAGAAGAGGGCATCAAATCCCACTATAGATGGTTGTGATCCACCTCATGGTTCCTGGTAATTGGACTACACAGAGAGACCTTGTATCAAAAACAAACAAACAAACAAACAAATTATGTCTTTACTGAATGAGTACAGACTTACTGTGGCTACCATTTCCTAAACATCACAATGTAACAACTATTTGTATATATATAGATACAACTATGTGTGTCATACTTCATACATTTACATAGTATTAGATATTTTAAATAATCCAGAGATGACAGAAGAAATTCAGGATGTACATGGATTATATGTAAATATGACAACACTTAATGTAATGGACTTGAGCATCCTCAGATTTGGGTATTTGCAAAGAACCTAGAGTCAATGCCACACAGACATGGAGGGATAATTGTATTACAATGATGGTGATAATGGTTTTTTGAAACAAGGTCTCTCTATTATGTACCCCTGATTGCTCTGGAACTCGATATGTAAACTACGCTGACCTCAAATTCACAGAGCTCCACCTGCCTCTGCCTCCATAGTGCTGAGATTAAATGTGTTTACCACCACCCTGGCTGTAATGTTGTAGCCAAGGGTGGTGGTTCACACCTACGATCCAGTACTTGGAAGGCTGAAACAGTCTGGACTACAGAGACCCAGTCTCAAGGGAAAAAAGAAAGACTAAGTTGTAATGTAGAATGCTTGTCTAGCATGTATGAGCTCTAGGTTTGATTCCCACTAGCATAAACTAAATATGGCAGCTCTTGCCTATAATCCAAATATAGGCCTGTGGAGGCAGAAA